TGTCTCTACTAAAAATACAAAACATTAGCTGGGCATGGTGGCCCGTGCCTGTAATCCCAGCTACTCAGGAGGCTGAGGCAGGAGAATTGCCTGAATCCAGGAGGCGGAGGTTGCGGTGAGCTGAGATCGCGCCATTGCACTCCAGCCTGGGTAACAAGAGTGAAACTCCGTCTCAAAAAAAAAAAAGATTAAACCCCTCACCCTTAATCACACTCCTGTCTATGATCGAAGGCATAATATGGAGAAACGCCCTCCTTTGTTCTCGCTCAATCTTGCTCAAGCCCCCACCTGGTCATGTACCCCATGCCTACTTATCTATCACAGTCCTCTCGAAGGTACTTTCTTTTTTTTTATTTTAAAGATGGGGTTTCACCGTGATGGCCAGGCTGGTCTCGAACTCCTGATATCAAGTGATCCACCCACCTCAGCCTCCTAAAGTGCTGAAATTACAGGTATGAGCCACCGGACCTTATCATTATTTTAGAGTGTACTCTTTCTACTTATAGATACCAAAAAGTTAACTGTAAATCAGGCTTAAGCAGGTCTTTCGGGAGGTATTGCAGAGGAAGGCATTGTTGTCATAGGAGGTGCAGCTCCCTATGTGTTTCTGCCCCTGCAGACCTTCTAGGGGGACAAGATGTGGAGGTGGAAAACAGTGATGTGGATGACCCTGACTCTGTAGGATCCTGACCATGCCTGGTTGTTTTTGTCTTAGTTTTTAATTTAAAAGTTTAAAAATTAAAAAATAAATAAATAATTTTAGAAATAGAAAAAAGCTTACAGAATAAGGGTACAAGAAAGAAAATACTTCTGTACAGCTGTACAATGTGTTTGGGTTTTAAGCTATGTTGTTATAAAAGAAAGTTTTAAAAAATTAAAAAGTTTGTAAAGTTGGCTGGGCATGGTGGCTCACACCTGTAATAGCAGCACTTTCAGAGGCCAAGGTGGGTGGATCATCTGAGGGCAGGTGTTCAAGAGCAGCCTGGCCAACGTGATGAAACCCCATCTCTACCAAGAATACAAAAATTAGCCGGTGGTGGCTAATTAGCGTGGTGGCTCATTCCTATAAATCTAACTACTTGGGAGCCTGAGGCAGGAGAACCGCTTGAACCTGAAGGCAGAGGTTGCAGTGAGCTGAGATCACACCACTGCACTCCAGCCTGGGCAACAGAGCGAGACTCCTTGTCTCAAAAAAGAAAAAAGTTTGTAAAGCAAAAAAGCTACAGTAGGGCCAGGTGCAGTGGCTCATCCCTGTAATCCCAGCGCTTTGGGAGACCTGAGCTCACGAGTTTAAGACCAGCCTGGAGAATATGGCGAAACCTCATCTCTACAAAAAATACAAAATTTAGCCAGGCATGGTGGTGTGCTGAGTAGTTTCAGTTACTCGGGAGGCTGAGGTGGGAGGATCACTTGAGCCCAGTAGGTGGAGGCTGCTGTGGTTGGTGATCATGCCACTGCACTCTAGCCTGGGCAACAAAGCAAGACCTTGTCTCAAAAAACCAAAAAAAAAAAAAAGGAAAAAAATTATATATGGTAAGCTAAAGTTAACTTGTTATGAAGAAAAGTAGTTTCTATAAATTTAAAATTTAGTGTAATCTAAGTGTATAGTATTTCTGAAGTCTACAGTAGTATACAGTAATGTCCTAGTCCTCATTCACTCACCACTCACCCGCTGACTCACCCAGAGCAACTTCCAGTCCTGCAAGCTCCATTAGTGATAAATGCCCTATACAGGTGTACCATTTTTCATTTCTCAATCCTTTTTTTTTTTTGAGACAGAGTTTCGCTTTTGTTGCCCAGGTTGGAGTGCAATGGCATGATATTGGCTTACTGAAACCTCTGCCTCCTGGGTTCAAGCGATTCACCTGCTTCAGCCTCCCACGTGCTGGGATTACAGGGGTCCACCATCATGCCCAGCTAATTTTTTGTATTTTTAGTAGACACAGTGTTTCACCATGTTGGCCAAGCTGGTCTCGAACCCCTAACCTCAGGTGATCCACACGCCTCCGGAAGTGCTGGCATTACAGGTGTGAGCCACTGTGCCCGATTTCAACCCTTTATACTGTATTTTTACTATACCTTTTCTTTGTTTAGATATATTTAGATACACGAATACTTACCATTATGTTCCAATTGCCTACAGTATTCAGTACAGTAAGATACTGTACAGGTTTTTGGTCTAGAAGCAAAGAAATGGCCTGATAACTCATTTCTCAGAATACCAATGGTTAAGTAACACTTGATTATATATATTTTATATTCATATAACCTCAACAACTCTGAGATAGGTAATTTTACAGACTACCTATTACAGAGGTACGGAGAAGTAAGGCCAGGAGTTGATTTTCTACCAAACCTTTCAAGTTCTGTAGAGAACGGCCTGAAATCGAGGTACTGGGACACCCTCAGGCCTCTCACGCTCACTGAGTCTAAAACAGAACTTACCTCTTTTCCCCAGACTTCTCTTGCTGGGGTCTCATCCTCAGCCTTCGCTCACCATGTGCCTGTCATGCCAGTCAGAAACCAGGCCTCCCGCAGCCAGGCACCATGGCTTACTCCTGTAATCCCAGCACTTTGAGAGCCCAAAGTTGGAAGATCTCTTTAAGTCAGGAGTTCAAGACCAGCCTGGACAAGATATCAAGACCCCCATCTCTACAAAAGAATTATCCAGGCATGATGGCACGAAACCATGGCCCCAGTTACTTAGAAGGCTGAGTCAGGAAGATTGCTTGAGCCCAGGAATCTGAGGCTGTGGTTAGCTGATTGTACTATTACACTCCAGCCTGGGTGACAAAATGAGACTCCCCTGACCCCTGTCTCAAAAAAAAGAAAGAAGAAAGTAAAGAGAGAGGAAGGAAGGAAGGAAGGAAGCAAGCCAGCCAGGTGCAGTGGCTCACACCTGTAATCCCAGCACTTTGGGAGGTCAAGGCTGAGGGATCACAAGGTCAAGAGGTCGAGACCAAAAAAAAAAATAAAAAAAATAAAAAAAAAAAGAGGTCGAGACCATCCTGGGCAACATGGTGAAACCCTATCTCTATTAAAAAAAAACAAGGCCGGGCGCGGTGGCTCAAGCCTGTAATCCCAGCACTGTGGGAGGCCGAGGCGGGTGGATCACGAGGTCAAGAGATCGAGACCATCCTGGTCAACATGGTGAAACCCCATCTCTACTAAAACTACAAAAAATTAGCTGGGCATGGTGGCGCGTGCCTGTAATCCCAGCTACTCAGGAGGCTGAGGCAGGAGAATTGCCTGAACCCAGGAGGCGAGCCGAGATCATCGCACCACTGCCCTCCAGCCTGGTGAAAAAGTGAGACTCTGTCAAAAAGAAAAGAGTTCTCCTCTCCGCCAGACCGCTGCTGAGCCGTCATCGTGGATACCAGTGTGCAGCCTATCAAGTTGGCCAGGGTCACCAAGGTCCTGGGCAGGACCGGTTCTCAGGGACAGTGCACGCAGGTGCGCGTGGAATTTATGGATGACACGAGCCGCTGTATCATCCGCAATGTAAAAGGCCCAGTGCATGAGGACGACGTGCTGACCCTGTTGGAGTCCGAGCGACAGGCCCGGAGGTTGCACTGAGTTTGCTTGCTGGGTTTTGGATATTGGATTCGACCACTTGAGATGGAAATGGTGTGTCACAATCTGGTCCTTTATTTTGTACTGCCATAGGTAAATTGAGATGGACCTTTAGATAAATCGTTTGTGATACAAAAAAAAGAGAGAGAGAGAAAAGAGGAGGGGAGGGGAGGGGAGGGGAGGGGAGGGGAGGGACAGGGCATGGTGGCTCATGCCTGTAATCCCAACACTTTGGGAGGCCAAGGTGGGTGGATTACCAGAGGTCAGGGGTACGAGACCAGCCTGACCAACATGGTGAAACCCTGTCTCTACTAAAAATACAAAAATTAGCCAGACGTGGTGGTGGGTGTCCATAATCCCAGATACTTGGGAGGCTGAGGCAGGAGAATTGCTTGAACCCGGGAGGCGGAGATGGCAGTGAGCCAAGATCACCCCATTGCACTCCAGCCTGGCTGACAGAGCAAAACTGTCAAAAAGAAAAGAAAAGAAAAAAACAGAATAGAAACCATACCTCCCCATACCGCTCACTCCCAGATCTAATCAATCATCAGAGGCCCTCCTTATCTCTAGAAGCTCCACCAAACCAGCCTCCAGGCACCCACTCCCACCCCACTGGTCCTTCCTCTAGACCCCAAGCTTTCTATATGCAAATCTCTGCTGCCACGCCTCATACCCTGCAGTGGTTCCCATTTGTCTCCTGGCTACAACCCAAACACCAGCCACTTCTGGAATCTGCAGTCCCACCTCCCATCCCTCCCTTCCCTGTGGTGCTGCTTGGGTGCTCCTCTAGGCCTCTGGGCCTCTGCATAGCTGGTCCTGGCTCTGCTCTTTGCCTGGACTACACTTACTAGTCCCGTAAGAGTCAATTTGGCCTTCTCTGCCCCATAGGTCTAGATCATGCCATAACATCCAGTGTTCACCTCCACCTTACTAGAATTGTTTGTCTGTCCTATCCCCAAGTAGAAGGTAAGTTACATTGGTCTTGTAAGCAGGGGCCTGGCACACAGAGGGCGCTTAGCATTATGTGAGTTGCATGAGTGAATGAACGGATGAATAAGTGGATGAATCAGTCTGGATACCAAGCATGGAGGTGGCACATGACACAGCTGTCACAGTGTGGAATGTGGGGGTGGTGTTCACCACATTCATATATTGGATAGGCTGGGAGCTTTAGCTTTGCACCCAAACAATCAGGAGTTTCTCACAATATTTATGTGTGTGACATGAGGCAGGTCACTTGGCCTTACTGTGCCTTGGGTTTTTGGATGATAATATCACCTTGAAGTGAAGTGTTTGCTATAAAAAGCATGCCCTTGGATGGCTCCACAGACAGTGTTTATCAAGCGGTGACTCTTTGCTGCACAGCAGATGGCAGTTTTGCTTTGTAAATCGGGCTGATCATACCTATCTCCCAGGGTCACCATGAGAATAAAATGAAATAATGTTTGTAAAGCAGTTAGCACAGTGGCTGCAGTTTTGGCTGTCATTCCTAAGGTGCACTTGAGTCCCATAATGTAGTGTGACAGGCAGGAAACCTGGGTTCTCCATGAGTGACTCAGAGATAAATTTCCTCTCTCAGATGCTTAGTTTTTTCATCTGTACAGTGGGTCAGTTCACTGAGCTTTCTGGAGGTCTCAAATTCAATGATTCTGAGTCATGCCTGGTCCTTATCATCCTTGATACTGCCAGGCACTCTGCTTTTGAGCCCACTTTCCAAGTAAAGAGGAAAGACCCCTTCTCTGTCTCTCCAACTCTGCTCCCTCAATCGCATCAAAGCTGATTTCCTCAGTGACTCATCTCCTCTGTGGTCCCTGGTCCCTGCTCTTCCGGCTTTCAATGGGTGCTAATGGGTCAATTGGTGGCACTAATGGAACATACAGGAACTCAGTGTTAGTTCACTAATGGGTCGCCCCATCTGCCTGCCCTGTAACCTAATGCCTTCACCCTACTAAAAGGCACTCGGGGATTTCCTGTTGGGCTCCAACCTGCTGGTTTCTTTTTTTCTTTTCCTTTTTCTTTTTTTTTTTTGAGACCGAGTCTCGCTCTGTCACCCAGGCTGGAGTGCAATGGTGTGATCTCAGCTCACTGCAAACTTCACCTCCTGGGTTCAAGAGATTCTCCTGCCTCAGCCTCCGAAGTAGCTGGGATTACAGTTGCCTGCCACTAGCCTGACTAATTTTTGTATTTTTAGTAGAGATGCTGTTGGCCAGGCTGGTCTCGAACACCTGACCTCAGGTGATCCGCCTGCCTCAGCCTCTCAAAGTGCTGGAATTACAGGCATGAGCCACTATGCCCAGCCCAATCTGCTGGTTTCTGACATCTTGAAAGTCAGAGGACAGGAAGGCAAAGGAGATGGATTGATAGACGGTGGGACAGAGTGGCAGAGGATCTGAACCAACAGTCGGGATATCTGAGCACCCGTCCCAGCTCTGCCACTGACTTGCTGTCAATGAGCAAATCCGCCCCCCACTCTGGAGCTCGGTTTTCTCATTTGTAACATGAGGGAAGTTGGGCTATGAAGTACTCGCTGGAGCTGACAGTCTGGAATTATCAAACGGCATTGCTTTTGCACCTGAAAGCTGAATGTCTTTTCAGCATCATTCAATTTCAGAACTATGTGCCAGGCTATATCAGGCACTGAGAATCAGGGGTGAATGAGGCACAGTTCTTGTCCTAGGAACTCTCAGGCACCATCTCATCCTGCTACTATTTTTCTTTTTGAGACAGTGTCTCACTTTGTCACCCAGGCTGGTGTGCAGTGGCTTGAACACACATCACCACACTTGGCTGATTTTTTTTTTTTAAAGATGGTGTTTCACCATGACGGCCAGGCTGGTCTTGAACTCCTGACCTCAGGTGATCCACCCACCTCGGCCTCCCAAAATGCTAGGATTACAGGTGTGAGCCACCGCACCCGGCCTGATACTTTTTTTTTTTTTTTTTTTTTTTGAGACGTAGCTTTGCTCTGTTGCCCAGGCTGGAATGCAGTGGTGCGACCTCAACTCATCGCAACCTCCACCTCCCAGGTTCAAGCGATTCTCCTGCCTCAGCCTCCTGAATAGCTGGGATTACAGGCACCTGCCCCCATGCCCGGCTAATTTTTGTATTTTTAGTAGAAATGGTGTTTCACCATGTTGGCCAGGCTGGTCTGGATCTCCTGACCTCATGATCCGCCCGCCTCAGCTTCCCAAAGTGCTGGGATTACAGGTGTGAGCCACCGAGGCCTGGCCTACTTGGCTGATTTTTATAGTTTTTGTAGATACGTGGTTTCACCATATTGCCCAGGCTGATCTTAAACTCCTGTGCTCAAGTGATCCACTCACCTCAGCTGGGATTACAGGGGTGAGCCACTGTGCCCAGCCCTGCTACTATTTTTCTATTCACAAAACAGATGGAAATAGAAGGAAGGCTTCTACACTTCCTAAAGATCTCCTGTGTGCCTGGCTAAGGGCCCAGAAAAGATAAAGACGTTTTCACATCTTTCAGTCCTTTCAGTTCTCTGACTATACCATTTTCTTTTGACTCTTGGCCTTTGTACAGGCCACTCCCTATGGCTGGCATTGTCTTACCTCTCAGTTTACTTTTCAAGCCTCAGCTTCATTCATTCATGCATTCATTCATTCAGTTCACACCGAGAGAACACTTACCTTGTGCCAAGCCGTGGGACTGGTATCTAGGAGTGAACAAGATATACTCTGTCCCTGTTTTCTAGAAGCTTGAAGATTTTTGGTTTTTTCTTTTTCTTTTCTTTTTTCTTTTTTGAGACAGAGTCTTGCCCAGACTGGAGGTCAACGGTGAGATCTCGGCTCACTGCAACCTCTGCCTCCTGGGTTCAAGCAATTCTCCTGCCTCAGCCTCCCGAGTAGCTGGGATTACAGGCAAGTGCCACCACACCTGGCTACTTTTGTATTTTAAGTAGAGATGGGGTTTTACCATGTTGGTCAGACTGATCTCAAACTCCTGACCTCATGATCTGCCCACCACCCAAAGTGCTAGGATTATAGGCGTGAGCCACTGCACCTGACCCTCCTCCCCTTTTTTTAAGACAGAGGGTCTTGGCACAGGGGACTCACATCTGTAATCCTAGCACTGTGGGAGGCTGAGGCAGATCACCTGAGGTCATGAGTTGGAGACTAGCCTGGTCAACATGGTGAAACCCTGTCTCTACTAAAAATACAAAAATTAGCCAGGCGTGGTAGCACACACCTGTAATCCCAGATTCTTGGGAAGCTGAGGCAGGAAAATTGCTTGAACCTAGGAGGTGTAGGTTGCAGTGAGCCAAGATTGCGCCATTGCACTCCAGCCTGGTCAATAGAGCGAGACTTGGTCTCAAGAAAACATAAAAATAAAAGAAACAAAAACCAGACCAGACACAGTGGCTCATGCCTGTAATCCCACCACTTTGGGTGGCCGAGATGTGCAGATCATGGGGTCAGGATTTTGAGACCAGACTGGCCAATATGGTGAAGCTCCATCTCTACTACAAATACAAAAATTAGCCAGGCATGGTGGCGGGCGCCTGTAATCCTAGCTACTTGAAAGGCTGAGGTAGGAGAATCGCTTGAACCTGGGAGGTGGAGATTGCAGTGAGCCGAGATCTCACTACTGCACTCCAGCCTGGGCAACAAGAGCAAAACTCCATTTCAAAAATAAATAAATAAATAAATGAGAGAGTGGGTCTTGCTATGTTGCCCAAGCTAGACTTGAATTCCTGAGATCATGTGAGCCTCTTGCCTCAGACACCTGAGTAGCTGAGAGTACAGGCACACATCACTGAGCAGGTTACAGATTTTTGTGGGAAGAGACAGTCAATTAAACAATTTCATTTAAGAAAAGGAGGTTGCCTAGGCACAGTGGCTTATGCCTGTAATCCCAGCACTTCAGGAGGCCGAAGTGGGTAGATCACCTGAGGTCAGGAGTTCGAGACCAGCCTGGCCAACATGGAGAAACCCCATCTCTACTGAAAATACAAAATTAGCCGGGCACAGTGGCACATGTCTGCTT